CGGCATCCATGGCTTATTGAAATAAAACCGGCCCATCTAGACGGATGTCTCATGGCGATGGGCCTTGACAAATACATGTCGTTCATTAATAGTATACCTCAAAACCTCATGTTGTTTACCAGATACTCCCCCTGGCCCGTAGCCTTTTTTTAGATGCTACCCCAGACGCCGGTGCCTGACCCAATGACACATGCAGCTGCAATATAACCCAGATCTCAAATCTTAATCAAACCATGATACGTCTTAGACCCTCCGTGCCGCCGAGGACCCGACGTCCTGTCACGGCACATCTACCCTGGCCGCTTTCCCACTTGCCGGCTTGATCGGCCATAAACTCCTCCTGTCTCTGATGTGAACCTTCGAGCCACCTATGTATGCAGGCATAGCAGTAGACCACACCCGTCTGGCAAGCCGTCGCCGTCGTGATTTCGTCTTCGCAGATGGGGCATAGCTCAGAATCTTCTGGCGCAGGTACGGTGAGGATGGGGAGCAATGATGGAGTAGCAATTGGCGCATCCTCTGCTGACGCTATCTTAGGTCGTTCCTCTTCTTCCTTCTTACTCTTCTCGTCGTGACCCTTCTGGCCCTTCTTCTGCGGTACCTTGACTCCCAACGCGGATAAACCAGACACGACAGGTGGCGGTAGCTCGAGGTTCTCGGCAGCCTTCCTCGACAACTGCTTCGCAAAGTCCGATGTATACCACCATTCGAGGAACTTCAGCGCAAATATGCTAGTCGGTAGTAGGACTGACAAGCTACTTAACAACCTCGGTCCCATTACTCTCGGGTTAAGGAGACTGGCAGCCGTAAGGGGTGGGTTTCCCGCCTTTGGCTTGCCTAAAGCCTCAATGGCCTGGAAATCTGCTCCGTTCATCCTACGCATCCTAGTGCCGATAAGCCATAGGAATAGATTGTGGTATTTACTGCCGTCAAATAGATATGCTAGATTGAAGGCAATGATGCTGAAGTAGTAGGCGGCGTGTACGCTCGGATAGATATTACGTATGAACCACTTGTAATAATGTAACAGTCGCTGCTTAAATGTCGGATTCGCAGGCATACGGGTATAGTTTGCACCGAGAAGGGCTCGTGGCGCTTCGATCTCGTGGCTCTCGTCCAGCTTCCGCTTCAGGTACGGCAGACCAACCATAACAGCCAGATTCTTCCAGATATCTTTCTCGCTCAGCTTAAGAGTTTCCCGTACCAGCTCCGGAGCGCGGGCGGTAGCGCGAGGGACCTCTGCCTGTAGCGACTTTTCTCGTTTGAGGCCATAGAAGTGTTCAGTAAAGCTGCCACCGCGTGTTCGTAAATAGTGGCGCTCGATAACGAGCATTGCGAGCGCGTAAAGCTCATCGAAGGAGTTGAGGGCACGTAGTAAATAACGGGGGTATCGATGAGTCGCGACAGTGAGAAGGTATCGTAATGTCGGTGGTAGAAGTGAGTTGAGCTGTTGTTCTGAGAGTAATTCAAACAATGAGGGTTTCTGATCGTCGAAGGTGCCCCGAAGGGCTGTGACGAATTCCATCCTGGTTATTACTAGCGTAAGCTACACCTCAATTGTCTAGGTTGGTTGATTGTTAAGAGCAGAACATGTTTTGTAGGAATTAAGGAATTATTTAAAATGTAGATTGAAGCACAAGCTGACGAGACACGACCCAATCCAAATAACAATCCAAGTTACATTACTCGGTACAGGATCGACAAGATGCCGAGGTTGACGTAAAATGAAAGGAGCTCGGGCCATAACTGTTGCTTATCTAATACACTAGTTATAGATATTACAGGTAGGTACCTACCTAAATACCTCGATAGTATCAATCCCGCCTCCTGTCTACACAAGACTGTCACAAGTTGTAATATATATACCTTAGGAGGTATATATCTCTATGTGATTGAATGAATTACTCCTACGACATTTCTAATTTATAGCCATAGGCAGAATAGGAATAATACATACCCGAGCATCAATAAAATATATAGAAGGAATCATTGTAAAGCAGAGCATACCTCTCTAAACTCCAACCAACCACACCGAACTTAGAAATAGGACAATAATATAAAAGAGACCGCACGAAAAGTCTAGTTATCCGTCCACGTCACCCAAGAGATGCCCGTGATTTCCAGCTCAAGTCCAGGCTCATCTTCCTCATCTTCATCGTCGTCTGACCGGTAGGCCGGTCGGTCAAATTCATCCTCGTCGCCTAGCTTATCGAGGGAGGTATCGTGGACACTGGGTAGGAAATTCTGCATAATCTCGCTGTATTCTGCTGCGATATTGTCCGAAACCTTCCAAAATGCACTTGGACCAGCTGGGCCATGTGGATCGAAATCCCTAGGCGTCTATTTAGCATACACACGACACATAGGTAGGCAATAGCAGCTAAGGTCCAATTGACTTACTTGTCAAACCAATTACCCAATACCCCCTTAGAGCTCTTGACTCCACCGATCTGGACACTCTCACTACGCCATCTCTCTTCACCGTTGAAAATCGAAAAGGTTGTCCAGTGTACCTCGCCTTCACGGGTCAAGCGAACGGTGCCTTTTTCTCCAAGCACTTATTAGCAAATTTAGATGTCCTGGAAGTGAAAAGGGGAACGTACCTTTCATACCTCTCAAGTCTGAATTGGTATTATCATCATAGCTATCGTCGAGCGACTGGGAAATTCCCTTGAAATGTACAACTGGTAGTTCTTGTCCGTCCTCGGGCCCAGGGGGCTCGATACTAGTCACGCGAATCCTCATAAGGATTAGGCGCGTGGCCTGGCCGACATCGAGAGCAGGTCGAGGAATATTCCGTGGAAGTTGTGCGCCTTCGGCGAAGTTATATATGTGAAAGTCTGTATAGTCTAGGAAGCATACTATGCGTAGCCAAGTCCCTGTGACTCCATACGGGTCCTGGAGTTCCAGCGGATTTGGGACTTCCAAAGAATCCGGCTTCCGCGAGATAGGATGTGGTATATAGCTTTGGGGCCATGTTCCTGCGAAAGGTGAGTCCCAAAAGCTCCTACATAGTGGAAACCTCACAAGGCCAAGCCTCCGAAGGTTCGATCCGATCACGATCATGATGGCTTCGGCTTTCTCCCAATCCACACGGTCTGTATCGTCGTCCATAAACGGGCCCCATTTCGTTTTTTCTGTATATCGTCGTAAGTCGTATACCACAGAGCAGGCATACGGGCTCATCTTGCTTTCTCTCATCTGATGGGACTCTGGCCGCGCATATAAAATCGGCACTCCAAAAAGGCAGTGTAAATGTGCGCTCTTCTGGTGGTCCGCCTGTACAGATGAGATGTGGTTATCCGAACAGATGCATTCCTTGCGGGCGCGCCCGAAGATGGTAGACCGGCATAAGAAGGCAGATTGGTTAGTCTCTTCCTTGAATATGGAGCGCAAAATTTCAGTGTTACGGGATGCCAGATGGGTTGTTAGCGGGAATCGCTCAGTATCGGTAGCAGCATTCTGGAGGAAAGACTTGACCGTGTCATAAACGAAGGAGAGTTCGTTCTTCTACGCAGGAAAGAGTTAGACATTGAACAATTTTGAATCACGAGTCAGCTAGGCATAGTAAATGCAAGCATATGAGGTTCGAGAAGTATCGTACCTTATCTTGGACACGATCTCTTCGACCTATACCCTGTAAACGGACGACATCGTGAACTGCCTGCGTCCAATTCACAACTGGCTTGTTTAGAGGATTATCATAATTGTTAAGATAAACAATCCTGAAGAGTGAGGTATTCCCATTGACAATATGGTAGAGATTCTTGCAAACGCGGGGGATCCATCCTAAGTCGGAGGGTTCGACATAGCCGAGAACATGTTGCACGATCTCAGGTGGAAGTTCAGTTAAAAGGACCATCTTTCTGACGTATACCAGAGGGCGAGAGAGGCAATCCCTCTCGCTCTCTCGTTTCTCCTACCAAGGTTATGATAACGGCTCGTGGAAGTTTTGCTGACCGGGGTTCGATGAAGGTAAAGAGGTGGGGAGTTGGATGATTACCTTGGGTACGATTGGGAATTGCTGCAAACTAGTCCTACCTCGGGATTAATAATTATAACCTTATACATTAGGTAGGTACTCGGATTTAACGCAATAGCGTGCCTTCTACGAATAACCCATTGCGCCATTGCCCTTATTAGGTTATTTAAACCTAGGTAGGCAATTCCAAAAGTCCGGCTCTTGCCCGCTTGAGCTTAGATATCGCTTTCCTATCACTGTCGACATATGACTTCATAAATTTAGATGTATACTTGTACCTATGGAACCCGCGGACTTTACGTACCTACCTAAATAATCTACTCAATTAGCCGGCAGCCAGGGCCTCACTTTTGCAACAGCTACTATACGTACATGATACAAGGTCACACTATCCAACAAGGATATACCCAACTGCACTTTTACTAGTTTGTACGGGGTATTAAACCCCCACGTTCCGCATTTCCAGCTATAATAGCTGGCTCGCACTACGGTAGTAAAGTCCCGACAACTCACGATAAAATGCAATGAGAATTCTGGCATTGGCAGAAGTATTATAAATTCAACACTCGTGCTTCTTTTCGGACGGCGTTAATGCTACGTGCAATACCCGAAGGATTCTAACTCGACCGACGCTATTTGACCTTCCTCGGGCACCAACTGCTCAACTGAACATGTCGGCACTTAGACTGCAGAATATCAAGATGAAAACTCCCCCCCCATATTCAAAATGATGATGAGTATGCCTCCGCATGCTTTGCAACGAATATTCGAATAATTTTCGCCGGTTTTTGCTAGATCGTGTATATATGTATCGATCGGCAGTAAATATCACACAAATGCGACAGCGATGTGGTTGTGCGACACCGTTACGTCGTGTTGGGTATATGATGCGAAGTCGCTGTTTTTGCATAGTTACAATAATAAAAAGTTTAAGGGTCCAGATACTCTGGTAGACGCTATGATCTTCGTTAAGAAATGTTTTCGATGTCGCTTGTCCATAATCCGTTCCTCCTCGTACATCAGTTAGCCATCTTCAGATTCTCGTTCATCATGCTTCCGTATACTCCATGTTTCTTCCTTTTTGGGCAAGGGTTTTTTGTTTCGTATTTTATTTGCAATGGGCTTCGCTAAACCACAGTTGCGCCACTGTTGAGCTGGATACAATTGCTCAGCAGTGTTGCTCCTTCGTGCAGCAGCTCCCACCGTGTCGACTCGAAGGAGTCCTTAAGAACTATAAGTAGAGTACTGTTGTTGTTGACACCCCTCATACCCTTGAGATCTTCTGGCGACGCCACCGAACCAACTCTCAATAGGTACTCGCGCATCTGGCTCATTTTCTCCTCGGTAGTATTCGGAATGGGAACTCCGGGACAAGGGCCCTCCAGCGCGAAACCGTAGCACCATACAACCAATGCTGCGAAGTAGAGCACCCATGGCCGGTTCAGGAGGACGTCATCTCTGGCTAGATACATCAGGATACCCGATTGGTGGCTGTAACCCTCCGAAGGTGATCCTGCATTTTCAGGGAGCAAAACTGAGCATAGGAATTTAGCAGCGTAAAATGTGGCATCGCGAGCTTTTGCAGACGGCGCCCAGAGGTCCTTCATTCGACGCTGCGCGCTATTTAAATCCTGTGTACCGATCGCTCTACCAAGAAGGCGTTTGGCGCGAGCAAATATCTGACAGTCGACGATATCCACGTGCATTGCCATGTGCGCTAGATGATGTAACACTGTCCTACTTTCAAATACCACATTAGCTTCGTTCCGCTTGTCGTAGCTATACGGATCGACCACCGTATCAGCGCGTTGCAGCGACTTGTCGAAGTCTGTCTTCCACGAGTCGAACGCTTTCGTAAGTGTTGATCGCCATTTGTCACGCCCCCCAAGCGCTTGTTGCACGCCGCCGCCGAGCGAGCTGACTTGCAGGTCACGTTGGTTCATATGCCAACTCACGCTTAGCAAACCTGCCATGAGGATCTGTCGGCCGAAAGGATTCGTCTGTACTTCATGCCCCGCAAGAGTCCGCTTGAGTCCTTCGAGGAATGAGATAGGCTTAATTCCATTAGACATAAGGTTCGCCTCGATCCTACCAACCTCAGCGCCGCTTGTAGCCTTCCATAGCTGATCGTCACAAGGGAGGGGCAAACGCATTTCGTGTGCCACCATCACGGTCGAATGCCCAAACATCGTAGCATGAATCGAATCGATAAGAAACGCCGCAAACGCCGCACGTCTGGTAGTCTCGTTCGTTATCCAGTGGTTCCACCACTCATCCGGCGTATGCGCGAGCCCCGAAGTAGAAGAATGCCGAGAACTATTCGCCCCCGATTTCTCATCTCGTGGGTTTGGCGGTGAGTCGAGAGCAGATTTCCCAATCAGGGCCCTCCCTCTCCGCATGAGCGTAATGGTGGTCGCATGGTGGATGTGTGCTCGTTCATGGAGCTCCCTTGTCGAGTACATCTTCTCATAAAGCTCCAGTAATAACAGAGTCTGGAAGGCCCAGATCTTCGCCGGCGGTCGGCAATTCACGTCCATGAATATTTCCCACCTTAGGTGCCACGCAAGGAAGTTAGAGAGTTGAGATCCAGCCATGATGACCTTCGGCCCGTGCGTTCTATCTAGGCAGGCAGCACCTATTGCCATCACTGCTATTAACAACAAATTCGGCGTCCTATCCGGCGAAAACGTCGGTTTGTGGAGAATGGGTATCTGATCGCTGAAGTGAATCCAGTAAGAACCTATATACTGCTGCATCATCTTTCGGCTTAACATGTGATTCTCATCACTTCTGTCACCTTCTAATATGCTTTCTCGTTGACGCTCCACTGGCGCATGATCGTTCTCGTGGAACCTCTCCTTAATAAAGTCAAAAAGCTCTTGGCTCTTTTCTTCAGATAAGAGCGACTCCGGGAGGTTCGGGTCAAGAAGATTTGTGACAGCCATGACCTGCTGTGGTTGGTTAGACGGCGGAAAATATCCCAGAGATGCACTTTCGTAATACGGCATGCCATATTGATGCTCCGCATAGCTAAATCCGGCCATGTTAGTTCGAAGAATAATATAAATCTTAAAATCAGCCATTGATACGTACTTAGCATATTGATTTGGTGGCATTACATGGCCCACCTGTGGCGACCCGTTAGGATCATTGGTATTAAAGAGATATGCAAAAAAGTCTTCGGGAATAGCAACGTATGGGGACTTATTCAAGACGCCGTCACTGCCAAAAATTGGAATGGTAGTTTGCGTTGCCATCTGATCCAGCAGCACCATCTCACCATTTGATTGGGAATGCGAATGGTCATAATCGTTAGAATTTTGTGGTGCATAAGCTTGTCCAGATTCCCTCGGCATGTTACCAGCAGTTGTCGTCGCGAAATCTGAAGGGGGTAAGGTAAAAGGTGTTAAATTTTGCTGAGTGACGTATGGCATCGTCGGGGCAGACTGAGGGGTATTGGCGAGATGCCCATGATAGTTGCCGTGCTGCGTGGGAACTGGCGATAAAACACCATAAGGGGCACCGACGCCGGTTTGGATTGTCGGTCGTGGAGGGCCTGAAGGAGAGTGGTGCGGATGCCGCGCACCATGAGGAGCGGAATAACCCTGCTCGTGATGCATATAACCGTCAACTCCGTTTGGATGACCGACATGAGAAAAGTTCGCGGGTGGTGTATTTGATATCGGAGTATAAGGGGTACCGATGGTATCTTTTGGTGACTGGTATTCATAGTGAGCTCCGCGTCCTTGAGTATAGCTTGGCCCGAGTCTATCGGAATCGGGGGAAACGGCACTGGGCGTAGGGTACGGAGGTCTTACGTTGTCGACGGGAGAAGACTGGCTAATCAAAGAATCTTTCCGATTCAGCGCAGACCCTTTCGCAGTATGGCGATCCTTATGACGGTTACACAAGTCGAGTCGGACGAACTGGCGCTTACAATCCTGAAAGTCGCATCTATATATCTGTTTCGGCGAATGATTCAATTGGTGCCGATAACTTTTCAAATTCCGCCCAGTCAGTAGAGCAAGTATATTAAGAATTAGTATTCTATAAAACTCACAGATGTTCGGCCCTTGAATAACTCTTGCCGCATCCCTCAGTAGGACATTCGAATTTCTTATCTAGACCTTTGCGACTCCGTCTCCGCTTTCTCACGGGACCATCCGAGTTTGACGAATTACCGTTTTTGGTGTCACCGTCGCCTGCCTGGTCGCTGTCATTGCCATCGATATCCTTGTCAGGAGAGCGACTCCGGCGACGCCCTCGCTGCGGGTCATCTTCATGCTGGACGTTCTGAGGCGGCGTCGGCTCCTGGACCTCGGTCATGATGGGGCTCGATCGCACGAAAGGTATAGATGGTTTAACGTCTATAAGCAGTGCGGGGAGAACAGAAGTCATGTTCCATTAAAGCATCATGGTCTTGCAAAGAATCGTAGCGCTTCAATTCCGGGCCGCTCGCGGTGAATGTGTCGCACCCCTCGTGGAGCTTCCTGTCGCACCTCGAACAGAATAATAATTGGCCAGTAACGCTTAGTCGCACGCGCACACCCTCTCTCTACCTCTCTCTATGTGCAGTCCTAAGTAGGAAAGTATTGGACTAAGAAGCCACTCCAAGACGCCCGTTGGTGCCACAGTCGGACGATCTATGTGTGTTACAACGGAAGACCCAAACTACTGCAGGCGCGCAAAGGGAGAGAGGGACAAGCAAACGAAGAGCAACTTGGTTTTCCCGAATAATCGGCTGCGCTAAGAGCTAACAGTGACGATGATTTAAGACGACCTCGAAACAAACAACATGGCCCAAATTAGAGAATTGTGGTGCGGTTACCACATAACAGTCCAAATCAAGGAACTATGTACCGAGGGGACTATATCTTGAAGGAGTCGATCGCCGGGTAAGGTAGTAAGCGGGAGACGGAGCTGGAGCTGATTCGATGCGAAGAAAGGACACGCGATGTTCGAGCCAGAAAGACATAGACATAGACATGGACTATCTGGATTTACCTGGAATGCCTAGGCCGGGAGGAAGATGAAGATGATTAGTCTTTTAGTTCTGGGGGGGTCCCACGTCTAAGGACGGGATAGAGAATTCGAAATTTGTAAATGCCGCCCATTGCGGTAAATTGCCCATGGAACGGAAGGCGCTCTTTTAAGGAGCCCAGTACACACCTAGCAGCCTATCCTCGTAGGTGGCTAGGTACTGGTAGTTACCTTAACGAAGCTAGCGCGTCTGGGCGGGGTTCAGGTGCGATGCAATTAAGTGGGAATTTTCGAGGCAGGATGTAACACCGAGGACGAAGGAAAGTACCAAGTTGGGTATGAAGTGCGTGGTGAGGTACATAATCTAGTAGGTTAGAGTACAATACCTCGGATACCCAAGTATGTACATATGTACATGCAGGTAGGGGGAGGGTCCCGGAGTAGACTGGAGTCCAGTGACAAGACATGGGGGAGTCTTGATTTGTATGTAGATGCAGGGAAACGACAAGCGGGAAGGCCAATTAGCTACAAAATAGTAAATAGCAGCACGGAGCACACTATGCGCCGTTCGGGATTGGCTAAGAATTTATATAACAAACGATCGGGACAAATACTAAAGTCGGAACTACCTGTACCCAGTTGAAATAGAAATACTAGGTATTGCTAATAGATAGGTATCTTTAAAAAAGATAATAACTGAATTCGAAACCCGCCACAAAGTGCTGTGCGCTATATGTGTAGGTATATACCAACTAACAACATACGTAGATAGCTCATATATCAACACACATGCTAGTCGGTAGTAGACGGACAGGTCAGGTATATACGAAATACAGATTCTTCGAAAGTAAAGATCGGTTAGGTACGTGAACCAGGAAGACGCTTATATATGGTAGAGGCAAAGAGAGAATCTATCCGCGCTCGAGTACCTACTTGCTTAGGGTTCCATTGCAGAAAGGAAAAGTCTCGGACTGCACGTTGCTGCGAAGACATGACACTTGACAAGGGGCCTTGACTGGTCCGCCTATGAACAGGAAGACAGGGGAGAGGGCTATTGTCGGAGGAGAAGGAATGAGTGTGTGTTGGTGAGCGGGAAGAGGTCGGCGAAGATAATAATGCGGCACCAGAACTTGGTCCGAAACCGTCTGTCTAAGTCGCACGCGAAACCGTCGGACAAGTAGGACGATAGGTCGGTAGGACAACGGAGGAAGGGTATCAACTAAGCTAATGAAAGAGACGCATATGAAACATACCTAACTAAATGACAGCTTCTTACAAACTATCATGTACGAGCGATCTCTAACAATACCAACAAATGCTGCACGGTAAATCCTTCGTCTGAAGTTGCCCCCCCGAACGACCCGGGTCTGGCCGGTATTGATCGGTATTTGCTACAAACTAGCGGTTAAAATCGATTGAGGAGAAGTGGACATTACGAAACACTCGTGTGATGATGAATCGGGTGAAGCGGCTGAAAAGGGGAGTCGTAGCGGCGGAGGGCCAAATTGCTAAAATAACAATTAAAAGACCCAGAGAATAGGATCGCAGTTTGGAAATGTGGGAGAAGGCAGAAAATCGAGGTGGGGGTCCTCATTCTTAATAGCTGCTAATATTTGAGCACATATGACCATTTCTAACTGGGATAATCCAGCTAGGATAATAGGAAGGATGGCTCGCCCGAACTGTGGAGTGCAGTCCCCTGTACGAAGCCAAGACAACCACCTGCGTCTAATAAATAATAAATGCATGGATCGTTATATGTAAGTATACACATGACGCTTGTATGCCTCTCTCCATTCGATCGTATAATCGTATTTTGGGGGCGAACGGCACACGAGAGTCAGGAAAATATGACGTGTATGCATACACACAAGCTACCCCGACCTGTCAATCATTTCTTTTAGCGTTGGTTATAGAAGCATACGTTGAAGTCTGAGTTATTCGTTACTTACCATCAACGTCTCCAATTGCGAAGAAAGTCCGCAATGACCTCCAGAAGATAATATCAAACCTTCAAGATACCCCCCCTCACTTTTACCACGGAGGAAATTCATAACCAGGAGAGGAGGAGAATCAAGCAATTTGAATGGCACTGATAGGGTCGGTTGATGTTAGAACTCTTCTTATAGGTTAGCGACTATGGCAAGCGAGGTAAGACGGGCCTTCGACTCCGTCCAGGTGGGATGTACTTACAACAAGCTAACTCAGAGATTCTTAGTTAATCCTTATTTAACTCTAACACAGAATCTATAATTCAAGTCGTAGCTTGTATTTGATCGCGTGTAGGTTGTTGCCAGCCGGTCATGAGTACATAACTAAGTTATTTACTTGCCCAGTACCATCTATCATTCTCGAAGTCTGAACTTGACAAAAGTCCTGACTTATGTATTAGTGACTTAACGCTTTGCTGAATACTCCGTGGGTATATTAGATGTGTGATCCAGTCGCGTGGAGCCCTCCATTCGGAAAACAACCAAACCATTAGCGCCAGTGGTTACGAATTATCTACGAAGACACGGGATAAATGTGCCATGGTCCCTTGCTGCTCATGTCGTCTTACCTACATCATAAAGGTACCTACGTGGTAGTAGACGTAGCTTTTTTTACCGTTAGCCCCGCAGCCTAATATACCTATATATGATATATTTATATACGTATCTGCAGAGTGGGATGACTGTAGGTAGCAGTGCAAGGTATCGCTTTGGGATATTATAAAATATTATATAGGTCTAGCATGGGTTAAACGCCTTGAAAAACCATTGACAAATAGTAATGTCATTCAAGGTACGTAAAATGTAGACTCATCGGGCTGCGCCGAATAAATATTTCGTACATATTTACATATAGTGCATTGAATATGATGTAGGTACATGAGCATGGGATTCGCGGTGGCTTCAAAACCAGGGAACCCCAGGACAATAATCTAGGTTTGTGGGGACTGGGGTCAAGCCGATTGATTGGTCGATTTCTCCAGGTCTTGGCAAGATTTGGCTGGGAATACATCTACTACATAATGCATTAACGCGTGGATCATTATGCACGGGATGCATTGGGTTTCTACACAAGTTCCACTATGCAGCCTAAAAACGCTTTCCTCCATCTCCATCACATCTCTCATAAGACAGTTTAAAGTCACGAATTGCAAGAAGAACAAGAAGCAATATTGCATAGCTCGAGATACTCAAAACATATGATCACATAACTAATAAGAAAATAAAATAAAGTACGGTTATAACTCTTGTAAGTCTACATCGTGATCACGAGTATCAAAATGACTCTTACATAGTGCTCGTTAATATCTTCCAAACTGGGGTCAAACCTGGCCACAATATACCCTTAACTGTTCTCGGTCAAGGGTCATTTTCAGCTGGATGACGCTAGCACCATGCAGAGGGACATCGTGAGCAACTACATACATAACCGCCTAGCCACTACGCCAACAGCTGACACCTTAGGAAATATCTATTCATTGGCGATGGCTCTTTACTTTGCCCCCCCGCGCCCCCCATTTTTTGCCATCCTTACTTAGATTGCAGAGCACGAAACCCCAAGACCATTAGATCATTGCCGTCATCAACTGGAGGGCGTGCCGTGGGCTCGGTAAGCTCAGGGTCCAAACTGGCGGGACGCTTGCGTGATCGTATTGATTTTAAGGATCGGTCGAGGCATTAGACCAAGGAAGTGGTTCCAAGCGGCTGGCAACTTAATAGCCGCATTATTCCTTCACATCATCTAAAAGCTCGACACCGTCCCTAAAACTTTTAATGTTGAGACTTGGTCACAGAACCCTCGGTTAGTCTCGCTACCCAATTAGGTCAGAATCTAAGAAACCCAGGATCAAGGCGACATTTATAATTTGGCTAGGCAGACAAGGTTCGTAGGTGGCCAAGGACTTAGACAGGGCTCAGATCCGTAGTCCCCGTACCAACCTACAACGAAGGATGTATGGTTAGAAGATCAGTGTTCACAGATGAAGCAAGTATCGATGCGGCGACTACGCGCATCTCACTACAATACGAGAGCCATGGTACAAGTAAGCTATGTTACATCTACATACATAAACCATAGCATAAATCGAGTATAGTGCAGTCTGCAGGTAACCCCGCAGGTGTTCACTTTGGCTAGAAGGCAGAAAAAGCTCCCGTGGAGGGTCGTGTCGCAGCAGCACGTTTGGGAAAGCTTCTGGAAGCTAACGAAGAGACGCACGGAAGCGTCGGAATTGCCCATTCGGCTCAGTCAGATTCCTCTCGGCATCCCAGCCAACCCCAGGTCGATGACCTGCCTGCCGGACTCCCGTTCATGGATCCCTCCATGATCCATATGTACATACAGATCCATTGCCCAAGGCGGCCGTTTTAGCAGCTGATCAACTGGCACGAAGATGATTTGTTAGTTCCGCCAAGGGGGGCGGGCGGAAGCGGTAGTAAGAGGCAAACAGAAGAGAGGCAAAGACTTCAGCCACAGGTAAGTTGGCAGGGAGTCCGGCTGCAGGTCGACGAAAAGGGGTAGTCGGGGAAGGAGACGAGTCGCACAGGGAAAAAAACTGGAGTGCATGATAGACAGCTCAGCACACCAATATGGCAGTCTCTTATTATTTGAGGTGGCAGCTGGGTGGGAAGGTCGGACAAGTGAAGTCGGGCCACGATAGGTGCGCTCTCTAGTCTCGGCGTAAAAGAATTATCGGACAATCCGTAGTGGAGGGTAAGCAAGTTCGTCCGTTTCTTCCATCTGTCATAACGGCTATAGAAGTATCGTTCATTTTCTATTTTCCGGTGGTTTCTATTTAATAATAGTTGCAACTCCAGCAAGACCAGGGGTAACTCAGCGGACATCGCTATCACCTACTATAACCAGTTTTA